TGGTACCGCCTTTTCAGCGATTCCATCACATGTCTCAGCTATGGTATATCCCAGTGTTGATGGACATTAGCTTGTTTCTACCATCAGTCTATTGTGAACGGTGCTGCTCTGAACATGTGTATGCACGGTTTTGATACTTACTGAAGATCGAATCACTTTTGCATTCACTCAATAAATAGTTGTTGAATTACACTAGAAATTCCCTGGGCTGAGCACATGCTTTACAGCAGGACACTGGTTTGATCCCCAGCACGTGAGCATTGCATTAGCGGCCCCTGAGCCCAGGGTCAGGAATAGCACCTGAGCACTGCACCCTGAGCACTTCCCCACTACCCCCATACACACCTCTCAGCCCCAGGAAAAAAAAAAACTACTACTACATGGGGCCAGAGTGATAGTACAACAGGTAAGTCTTGCATGCAGCCTGCCAGGATTCAATCCTCAGCACCCTATATGGTCCCCTGAACCCTGCCGGGAATGATTCCTGAGGGCAGAGCCAGGAGTAACCCCTGAGCATCGCCGGGTGTAACCCAAAAATAAAAACAAATCAGAATATTTGGAGTTGACACTGCTGGTGGTATTGGAATTTTGTATTCCTGAAACTACTGGGAATGACTTGGTAAATCATGGTGACAATTATAATAATAAAAATTGGTGGAGCTCAGGGCTACACTTGCCTTCGTGCTGGGGTTATGGTTACTCCCAGCAGTGCCTGGGGAATCATAGGTGGTGGTGGGTATCAGACGGGGGCTGGCCACATTGCCAGGCTTATGCCCCCCGGTCCTGTCTCTGCAGGCCCAGTGATTTAGATTTTTTTTTTAAGTTTTATTCATGAGAAATGAAATTAGGTGAGGAGGGCTGGTAATCTCTGTGTTTTTCTTTCCCATATGGCTCAGGCAGGTTTTATTTATTTTTTGGGGGGGGGGGTCACACCCAGCGATGCACAGGGGTTACTCCTGGCTCTGCACTCAGGAGTGACTCCTGGCGGTGCTGGGGGACCATATGGGATGCTGGGAATCGAACTCGGATCGGCCACATGCAAGGCATGCGCCCTACTCACTGTGCTATCGCTCCAGCCCCGTGATTTGGATTTTTAAAAGCACAGCGGCTCCACATAAAAAGTATTTATATTAAAGAAGGAATGAGCAACTTACATTAGCGGGTGGTCACACCCACCAACTGGCCCCCTGGCGCCGTGTAATCCCATCAACAACCAAGACTCAGAGACTATAAAAACCAGCTCCTGGAACCGCGCGGCCGCTTTTGCGGCCGCGCGACATCTTATTACAACATCTTATTATTTCATTCCTACTTTGGACAAACTGGCAGGTTACCTGCCCACACAGCAGAGTCTGGCAAACTCCCCGTGGCGTACCCAATATACCAAATACCAGTAACAATGATGGGTCTCATTCTCCTAAAGAGCCTTGAATATAATCTCAGGGCTAGGATGAAGGAGACGTTACTGGGGCCTGCTCAAGGCAATCAAGCAACTTAATTCAGTTTTTTGGTTTTGGGGCCACAGCTGGGCTGCTCAGGCTTCCTCCTGGCTCTGTGCTCAGGGTCACTGCAGCGAGGCAGGGGAACCATGAGTGATGCTGGGGAATGAAGCTGTGCCAGCCAGATGCAAGGCCAACGCCCTCCCTGCTGTCCTATTTCTCTGGCCCCTTGGCAGCTCCTTATTTGGTCACTCTGTGGGACCAGGCATAGCAAGGGCCCAACAACATTTTGGGACACTCAGTGACAACATTTAATGAGGAATAGAAAGTTTGTAGTCAGAAGAACTAATGTTCTGTTTGTTTGGGGGCCACCCACAAAGCACTCGGGGGCACTTCCCGGCTCTCTGTTCGGGAGTGACCCCTAGTCAGGCTGAAAGGCCCATATATGGTACCTGGGATTTCGACCTGGCCCTAACCCCTGAACTGTATTTCCGGTTCTATCTGAGTTGCTATGCTAGCCACTATACCACTGGAGCGATAGCACAGCGGGTAGGGCGTTCGCCTTACAAGCGGCCAACATGGCCGACCCGAGTTCGATTCCTCTGCCCCTCTCGGAGAGCCCGGCAAGCTACCGAGAGTATTCGATATGCCAGACACAGTAACAACAAAGTCTCCAATGGAGACGTTACTGGGCCCGCTCGAGCAAATCGACGATCAACGGGAGGGCCTTTACCTTTTTACCTTATCTGAGTTGCAATATTGAAGGCAATTAAAATTAGTGCGTCAAATCTACGCTGAACAAAACACAAGCGTTTAGGAAAGCTGAGTCGAGAAAGAGAGGGTATGGGCCTGAGGCATGCTCCTGTGTGTGGCTGACCCCCAGCTACCGGCTGCAGCCCTGTCTGCCCGAGCAACGAGGGTGCCACTGCAGAAGGAGGCCACAAAGAGCCCTAGAGTTACTGCACCTCCAAGCCTCACTGACCTTCCAGCCACTTGGTGGAATGACCCAGGGGGGCAACTGAGCACCACTGGGGAAGTCTTACGGGAGGCCTCCCAATGGCAGAGTTTAGAGTTCCTAAACTTTCCTTAATCACGTGCCCAGCCCCTTGCCTCATCCCCTGGCACCCACATGCTGTTTATTGGAGGTGAAATGTGGAGAGGAGGGCCAGGGGTGTGCCCCGCTGCTAAGGAGTCCCGGATTCCTGGCTGCCTTCTCTGCTCTGATCATACGGCTCCCAAACTGGGGCACTGCTGGATTGGAAAACAGAACTGCGATTCAGCAGGGCGCGGGAGGTGGGGCAGGTAACTGCACTTCGCCCAGAACTCGGTGCGTGTCCCCCGGTTGCCTCCCCAGGCGCCCAGCCGGTCTGCGGGGCCGGGACAACCCCGCTGAATGCAACTCAGCAAAAGAACCGTGCGCAGAAGGAAGCCGCGGCCCTTCTGGGAATCCGGGCGGGCTGCAGCCCCCCGCGGCCAGCCGCCGCCTCTTGGGGTTGCCAAGGCCCCGGGCGGGCCCTGCGGGCGGCCCTCTGCTGCCCGGCGGCGAGCAGGCGGTGCCCGGCCGCCCAGCTGCCCGCGGCATTCAGACCCAGGGCGTCCGGGCCGGGCACCAGGACTGGCGGCCAAGTGACGCGGCCGGATAAAGAGGCTTTTCTCAGCCGGGCGGAGCGGGCGAGGCTGGTTTCAAGGGATTTTTAACCCTTGGTCCTTCCTGGGTCCGCCGAGCGGCTCCCCGCGGGTTGTCTCCCCGGGGTGCGCGGGGGGAAAGCTCCCCCAGCGTGTTTCCGAGCGCGTTTCTGGACCCGGCCGGGAGTGCGCCCCGCGAGCCGGCGGTGTAGACGCACGAGCCGGCGGGGGTGACTTGCACATTCTCAAGCCGGAACTGCGAGTCCGGGTGCGGGTCCCCGGGATTCCCCTCACACCGCCACCCCCCACCCGCCCCCCGGTCGCGTGTGTAGACAAAGAGGCGGCTGCGGGGGCGGCCACAGCGCGGGACCCGGCCTGGGGTGAGGGGCTCGACTCTGCGTCCCGCCCGGCACCCGGTCAGGCCGGGGTCTCCGGCTCCAGCCCCAGCGCCGTGTGGGGTCGCGGTCCGGGCGGGGACTCGGGTCCCTGCGAGGTTGGGTCGGAGGCTCGATTTCGGGCAGGGGGCGCGCGGTTCTGGGCATCCTGGATCGGGGTGGACTGGAGTGCGGGGCTGCGTCTGGGCCGGGGTCCAGGGGCGCGCTCGGGCCGGGGTCCGGGGGTGCGCTCGGGGCGGGCCGGGTCCGGGGTGCGCTCAGACCCGGGTCCGCGGTGCGCTCAGGCTGGGCAGCGGCCCGGGGTGGGCTCAGACCGGGGTCCGGGGTACGCCTGGGTCGGGTCGGGGTCCGGGGTGCGCTCAGACCCGGGTCCCGGGTGCGCTCGGGCCGGGCGCGTCGCGGGGAGGAGCCGCGGCGGCGCCCTGTCCGGTCCCGTCCCGGCGGCGGCGCGTCACGCTGTCCCCGCCCCGAGCCGCCGAGCCGGGAGGCGGGAGGCGGCGGCCGCGCGGCTGCTGCTGCTGTTGCTGCTGCTGCTGCTGCTGCTGCAGTGGGGCAGGTGGCGGCGACGGGCGGCGACCCCGGCCACGGTGAGCGCGACGCGGCCGGTCCCCTCCCGCCCTCCGTCCCTTCCGCGCCGCCGGGCCGCGCCTGGCCGCCCGCTCGGGCCGGGCCCGGGGGCCGGGGCCGGGGCCTGGCGGCCGTCCGGGCTGGGCTCCCGCGCCGGGGCGGCTCCGCGCGGCCCGGGGGGTCCGGGCGGGGTGGGGGGCGCGGAGGTCCCCGGGCCGGGGGCGGCCCCGAGGCCGCGCGGCGGGAGGGCCCGAGGGCGCCGAGCCCGGCCTGGCTCCCGCCTCAAGATGGAGCTGGGAGACTCGTCGGCCTGCCCGCCCGCGTCCTCCGGCCCGCGCGCCGCGCCCGCCCCGCCACCGGGCCGCCACCCGGGCACCGCCACCCGGGCGCCTCCTCCCGGCCCGCTCCCGGGCACCTCCCTGCCCGCTCCCGGGCCCCTCCTCCCCGACCTGTGGCCCGCACTCAGCCGGGCCTGGCACGCCCCGTGGGCCCTGGGCAGCGGCTCCCCGGGGGTCCTCCCCCGCCAGGACTGTGAGATGAGCGACGGCGGGGCCACGGGCATCTGCGACACCCGCGCTCACCTGGTGCCTGGCCGGGCTCTGGCCCCGGAGGCAGCTGCCACTTGTTCAGGGGCGCCCCAGAGCAGAGACATCCCCTCCTGTCCCCCCACCCGGCCTGCAGGTCCTGCGCGGTGGCATGGGGACGCGTGAGGGCGCAGAGTGGCGCTTCCCCCCCCCCTCCGGGGCCGGTCCTTGTGGTGGGGCCAAGTGCCGCCCCCTCCCCGGCTCCCCGCCTCTAGGGGCTGAAGAAATTACACGTTAAGGCTGTGATCAGCTTAGATACCTTTTAGCAAAACTTGGACGCCCATCAGGGTACTTGCAAAGAAGGGTGGGGGGAATTTCGTAATTAAATGGTCTTTTAGTTCAGCCTGGGCTCCCTCCTCTCCTGGAGGGGCAGGTGGGAGCTCCTGGAAGGGCCGGGCCTGAGGCTTTCCCCTTGCTGTTACAGGTTCCCTGGATTCTGACTGCTGGATCTCTTGCAAGAACCCTCAGGTATGTGGCTCCCCAGCCGCGGGGTGTCTCATTCTGCAGAACCTGCAGTTAACCCCGACTGGCAGCTTGCTGTGGCCAGCCCCGGGCGAGGCCCTTTGGTATTTCACCTGGTTTATCAGCCCAGGGAGGCTGCCTCCCTGCGCCCATTCACAGACGACGCCTGGAAAAGTCAGGGCAGAGCCCAGGGTCACCTCAGCTGCTGGGTGGTGGTGGTGGTGGTGGTGGTGGTGGTGCCTGGGTGTCCCCAGGGACCCTGGGCTTCCTCACTCAGGTCTGGGGGCTCTGGGGGAGCAAGACTCTTGTGCGTCCAATGGGAGGGGTGGGCGCTGGGCTCAGGGCTGCTGCTGGATTGGAGGGCGTGAGAGAGGGAGGGGGGAACGGTGACATAGGCGGGCCTTGTTCCCAGGGTGGGGATGCTGGGAGATAAAGATCACACCTGTCCCTCCCTCTGAGTCCGCCTCAGCTTGCTGTCTGTCCCTGAGGAACTGAGGGGCCTGGTTTATGACAGCAGTGGGCCCAGTCCCTGTTCTGCCAGCACGGGTTCTTCTGCGTCCCCACTCCCCATAACTGCAGGTGAGCTTGGTTCTAACCCAGGCAGGCTTAGCTGGCTCTCCCCCATCCTGCCCCTCCTTATCATCTCAGAGGGACGCGGGGCGCGGGAATGGAACCCGGACCTGGGGCCTGTCACACATGAGCTTGGCCTTGGAACCTCTCTCCAACTCTCTCGCTCTTTCTTACTCTCACCCCGGGGAGGGGAGCCAACGGCTCACACACCCGCGGACAGGGGCTTCAGGGAAAGGTGAGAGGCAAGAGTCGTTATCCAAGAGTCGATATCTGATCTCAAGTGTATGTGTGCATCAGCAGATTAGCTTTGTTTTGGAATATGTGTGACAAGGATCCTGTATTTCACTCGGTAGAGTCCCGTGTGCCCATAAATAAGTTTTTGTCTAATTTCATGGTGGGGCCATCCCGGGGAGAGCTGGGGCCCGTTGGTGGCTGTGTGCTGGCAGTCCCCTGGCTTTGCTCAGGGGACCATGCAGTGGCAGTGCTAGACTCGGGCCTCGTGTATGCAGAGCACAAGTTCATCCCACTGAGCATCTCTCAGGCCCAAGTGGTGTTTAGTTATTTATTACTAGGGAGAGGGGAGCACCTTTGGGGCCACACTCAGCTCAGTAGTGCTCAGGGGTTTACTTCAGACTTTGTGCTCAGGAGTCACTCCTGGTTGTGCTGGGGGGGAATGAGAGGTGGATGCAGGGGACAGATGCAGTGCGGGGATGGACCAGGGTCATCTGTGTGCAAGGCAGGCACATTCCCCCCTGTACTAGCTCTCCAGAACCCCAGTGTTTTTTTGTTTGTTTGTTTTGGGTCATACCCAGAAATGCTCAGGGGTTACTCAAGGCAGTGCTTGGGAGACCATATGGGATGCCAGGGATCGAACCTGGGTCTGACATGCAAGGCAAATTCCCTACCTGCTGTACTATCGCTCTGGCCCCCCCAGTGTATTTTATTTAATTGAAAATATGCGGTCTTTAGGCTTTGAGATTTCCTTGAACTCCATTTGGTGCCAGGGATCCATCCTAGGGCCTCACATATGCAGGGTATAAACTCTACCTTTGAGGTTTTGGTCTTTTTTTTCCATGTTGGGTCATACCCAGTGATCCTCAGGGTTACTCCTGGCTCTGCACTCAGGAATTACTCCTGGCAGTGCTTGGGGAACTGTTTGGGGACTGTTTCACCCTGTAGGGGTGAACCATGGTGACCATGCCAATGCCATATGCAAGGACTATTCTATGCAAGGACTATCGCTCTGGCCTACTGCTCTGGCCTACTGTTGAGTCTTATCACCTGCCCTCAAGGCTTCATGGACCACTGAAATCAGAGCTAAAGAAATGGAAGAAAGTCACACAGTTTGACTTACTATTTCTTGCGGTTAAAAGAAACCTTTGTTGGGGCTGGAGTGATAGCATAGCGGGTAGGGTGTTTGCCTTGCACGCGGCCGACCCGGGTTCGATTCCCAGCATCCCATATGACCTCCTGAGCACTGCCAGGAGTGATTCCTGAGTGCAAAGCCAGGAGTAACCCCTGAGCATCGCCAGGTGTGACCCGAAAAGCAAAAAAAAAAAAAAAAAAAAAGTAAAAAAAATTAAAAGAAACCTTTGTTTATACTGTGTTAACTAAGGGAAACTTCCCACCATATGTAAATCTACTGTTGTCTAACCGCTTTGTCCTTCCTTCTTCTACACATGAGGTGGGTCATCAGGTATTTTTTTGAAGGTGTGATGCTGGGCCGGTCACTTCCCTGGGGCCACTAGGGTCACTCCTGGTGGTGGCAGGAGCTGAACTCAGTACTTAGACAGGGCAGTACGATGTTGCCACATGAGCCCCCTTTTCTCTTGGGTCACACCCGGCGATGCACAGGAGTTACACCTGGTTCATGCACTCAGGAATTACTCTTGGCAGTCCTTGGGGTGCTGGGATTCTGGGAATCGAACCTAGGTTAGCTGCGTGCAAGGCAAATGCCCTACCCGCTGTGCTATTGCTCCAGCCCCAAAATAGTTTTCTTTTTATATACTTTTTATAAAATAGAGGAAGAGAAGAGAGAGAGGAGGGAAACCCACAAAGTCAAAGGAAAAAAGGAATCGTGCCCCCAGGCTGGGCCACGGGCAGCCCCAGGGTGGAACCGAGCTCTCTCCTTCGAGCCTGAGAGCCGGTCTGTGGGGCCATGCTGGTTCCTGGTTCCAGGGCCATGGGGACTTTGTGGCCACCCGAAGCAGCTCAGGGACTGTTTTAGCTTGGTGCTCTGAGGACTGTGGTTCCGGGGATCAGCTGAACTGAAGGCAGTGTCTTCTGCACTGCACTCATGCATTTCTGCATTTTTGGTTTGGGGCTTTGCCTTGTCTCAGGTACTCAGCAAACCATGCAGTGCCAGGGTTGAGATAGTCCCCCTGAGATGTAGCTCATGGGACCCCGAGCACTGCTGTGCTGCTGCTATGGTTGGGCCTGGTTGGAAGCCTGTCACATTCAGCACAGCCCCACTGGCCACTTCCCCGGGGCCAGGTGCCACCTGCAGCCAGACAGCGATGAGCAGCAGGATTCCTGCTCCTTGGGGGCGTGGACCCAGCCAGAAGGCGGCTCATGTTTGCTGTGTTTGGAAGGGACTCAGGCAAGGGAAGCAGGGGGCAAGGGAAATGCAGTTTGGTTGATGGGAGATAGGGTGTCAGCTGTGCCAGGGTGTAGTGAGAGGAGAGCTGGATGCGGGCTCTGGGTGGAAGTGAAGCCCCATGGGGGGGGTGCAGAGGGGAGCAGGGACCTGGCGGGGATGGGGGGCTCGAAGCCATCAGGCCACATTGATTGTAGTCCTGGAAATACATCAACTGTTTTATTAGTTCAGGGGAGCTATACTGGCCGTGCTCAGACCCTATTCCTGGCTGGGCTCAAGGGACGTAGCAGGTGCGGGGGACCCAAGGGCCTGGTCAGCCCCATGTGAGGTAAGCGCCTTCCCACTGTACTCTTCTCCAGGCCCAGACCTAAAATATTTTAATGACTTATTTGGGGGGAGGGGTTTGGGCCATGCTGGGGGCCCTCAGGGAACCATCTGCAGTGCCAGGCTCAGACTGGGGTTTTGTACATGCAAGGCAGCACTTTCGGCCTGTGTGCTCTCTGACCTCTGACCCCACAGACTCTTTAGGATAATGAAGCAGGACAGGAATGCAACTCATGCTGGCATGCAGGAGACCCAGGTTCAACCCCTGACACTGCTTGGTCCCCTTGAGCAGCACCAGGATGACCCACCAATGGTGGAGCGCGTGGAGCAGCCTTATGCCATGTCACTAATGATTCTGGAGAAGCTAAAGGGGGCCCGAGGCCTGGGGGGTTTCCTGAAGGTGTCCACGGGCCGTAACAGGACCTGGAAACTGGACTCAGGCCTGTGTTTTTCCAGTGTGGCCCCTTGGACCTGCCATGTGGTGGGGGGTGTCCTTTCCCCTTCTCCCTCCTGGGCCTGTCGCTGGCATTTGCAGTGACTTTCCTGGACTGCTCTGAGCAGCAAACTTGCCTTTTCAGCGGTACAAGGTTCATGGTTCACAGCCTGTGCTTGTGAGTCGCTTTAATATCAGTGGGGAAACTGCTAGCATTCCCACAAATGGTAACTGCGTAGGTAAGCACTTCGGGGGCCGTGATGGACTCCTACTTGCTTCCAGTACCTGTCGCGGATGCTTCTGTGTCGAGACAGCTCCGAGTCTGAGTGCTTTGGGTCAGCATTTGCATTGCACGGCACTTTTTTTGGTTTTTGGGCCATTCCCAGCGATGCTCTGGGCTTTCTCCTGGCTCTCTGCTCAGGACCGGTACTGCTAGGCTCTCGGAACCCTGTGTGATGCTGAGGAGTAAATCTGGCTCGGCTGCGTGCATGCAGCAACCTTACCCGCTATCCTATCTTTCCGTCCCTCTGGGGAAATTTTTTTTTAAATTTTTTTTTAATTTTTATTTATTTATTTATTTATTTATTGAATCACTGTGGGAAAGGTTACAAAGCTTTCAGGTTTATGTCTCAGTCATGCAAATATCAAACACATTTCCCTTTACCAATACTTATTTTTTACCATGAAGAACCCCAATAAAACCCCACCCCCCACCCCTCCCCGTCCCTGTGAGGCAGATGAATTCTAGTTAACACTCTATCTGCTTTGATTAGATTCATTGTTTCAATAAAAGATTCACCACTATTATTTAGAGTTTACCCCCCCCCCCCCAAATCAGACATGCTGAAAAAGCATTGTGAAGTGATTTGCTTTCTACAGCTGGGTTCAAGAATTAAATGTTGGTTTTGGATTTCTGCTATTTTACTTATTGACCCTGGAAGTATTTCTACTGAAAGTCAGATAGTTAAGAAATTGGTTTCTGTGTTCTGGAGTCGTGGCCGTGCTGGAGAGCCGCTCGCGGGGGGACCGGTGGCCTCGGTAGGGCGTGAAGGGCGGAGCGAAACGCCCCCCTTCCCATGAGGT